CACTGACTGCTATTCAATTTATAACAGTGAAAAAAGTGTTTGTTTTCTTTTAAATTCAAGCTTTGTGTCACCAGATCTAAGTGGTGGCACTGGTCACCGTATCCACTGTTAGCGTAACACACCCGCTTTAAGGACACTGACTGCTATTCAATCTATAACAGTGAAAACAGTGTTTTTTTGTTTTTAAATCCAAGCTTTGTGTCACCAGATCTAAGTGGTGGCTATGGTCACCGTATCCACTGTTAGCGTAACACACCCGCTTTAAGGACACTGACTGCTATTCAATATATAACAGTGAAAAAAATGTTTTGTTTTTTTAAATCCAAGCTTTGTGTCACCAGATCTAAGTGGTGGCACTGACTGGGGAAATGGACACAGTATGCACTGTGAGCCTGACACAGAAGCTGGCAGCAGTGGCAGACAACTGACTGCTATTCAATCTATAACAGTGAAAAAGTGTTTTTTGTTTTTAAATACAAGCTTTGAGTCACCAGATCTAAGTGGTGGCACTGGTCACCGTATCCACTGTTAGCGTAACACACCCGCTTTAAGGACACTGACTGCTATTCAATCTATAACAGTGAAAAAAGTTTTTTGTTTTTAAATCCAAGCTATTGTGACACCAGATGTAATTGGTGGCACTGACTGGGGAAATGGGCACAGTATGCATTGTGAGCCTGACACAGAAGCTGGCAGCAGTGGCAGACAACTAAGTGCATTTACATTACATAGAAAAAATAAATAAAAAAAAAGCATACCCTTATCCCTAACCTAGCTATGCTTTTCCCTATTTTATGAACAGCAGCTACACTTTCCCTCCTCTTACTAAGCATGCAGCTTGAGAATGAATCTAAAATGGATGCCTTCCAGGATGTGGGAGGGTCTGCTAGGGAGGGTGTGCTGCTAATTGGCTGGAATGTGTCTGCTGACTGTGAGGTACAGGGTCAAAGTTTACTCAATGATGACGAATAGGGGGAGGGTCGAACCGCGCATATGTTCGCCCGCAGTGGCGAACGCGAACATGCTATGTTCGCCAGGAACCGTTCGCCGGCGAACCGTTCGGTACATCACTAATGATTTATTGTAATTTACCCCTTACTAAGGCAATGCTGGTGTCTTCCCTATTTGAATTCTATTCCACATTTTATACGTCCTGTACTTTTATCATGTCCTATATTTAATGTATATACATTTTCCATATAAGAAACCCTTTATACTTTCTGTGGTATCCCATACTCTGTATTGCCTGTGTTGTATCATATACCTTTTTGCTGTTTTCGTACTGTTCAGATAATTTTGTAAAAGACATATGATTGATGAGAGAGGCTGTCATTTGTAGATTCTACCTGTCTGGTCCTCTGTTTAGCACTGAATTGACAGAGACCTGGTTGTAAATTTCCATTCCATTCATCGCTGACATTTTGCTTGTCACCATGGTGATGCAGTTTTGGTTAAAAATTTCTTCCACTGTTGCCATCCTGATGAAAGCCCTTTTGCAGGAGAGCCAGCGAAAATCACATACAGGTTCTTTCACTCAAGTGTCAATAATCAGGGTTATCGAAGTTCACATTTTAAGCTTAAAGGGACCCTAAAGTCACCATAACAACTACAGCTTAATGTAATTTTTCTGGTGAGTACAGTCAGTTACAGCAGTTTTTTGCAGTAAACACTGTTTGTTTAGAGAAAAAAAACAGTGTTTACATTACAGCCTAGGGATACCTCCACTGGCCACTCCTCAGATGGCTGCTAAAGGTGCTTCCTGGGGCAGTGCTGCACAGTGTGACTGACATTCAGAGTCTTCACCCTCTGCATGGAGATGCTGAACTTTCCTCATAGTGCTGACGTTATGTTTACATACCTTTTTAGGATAATTCCCTTTGGTCATTTTTGTTTGTGTTTTTATTATTTGGTTTTATTTTGCTGGGATTGCTACAAGTGACAGAAACCTCTAAGGAAGCAAACTCATTGTGATTTATTTTGTAAAGCTTCTTAACCCCTTAACGACATATGACGGAAATATTCCGTCATGATTCCCATTTATTCCAGAAGTTGTGTAATAAAGGGGTTAATTTCTGTTTCAACCCTCAACAAAGACCAACACTGCTAAAATACAGTGGGAAATAAAAAATACTAAAATAAACATTTGGAACTGAATAAC